GAGTTGAAGTCCACACATCTTAAAGTTGCTGAGGTTGAGAAACACTGGGTATAGACTTAGACTTAGACATAGATATTCAATCTCTATAGCCACCCATCTCCACAAGTGACTCTGAACAACGAACAATATCAAAATAAAACCGTCCCTAGCACTGGGCTTTTGTGCTAGGGGCGTTATTTTAACTCTTGGTAAACTTCCTAAGTGTATTTTGAATCCCTTTTGCAAAAACAATAGCATGAAACCAAGGATCTTTGGGGCCCTTCCAACCCTGGGCTCTGCATACGCTTAACTCTGCATCGTGTTCTTTCTTGAAAACTGACAGATTTCTAGCCGATATGTCGTAGAGCTGGGTCATTGTCTGTGACCAACTGGGAAGCACAGAATTTTAAGAACTGAAAGGCCGTTCTGGAATAATAATAACAACAGCAGCAACAACAACAATAATAGCAGCAATTATTTATTGCACATAGTGGGTATCATTGACTAAACTCTGCAATTTGTTCCCACGGGAAAACAAAAGTTCCTGAGCAGAGATACAATGAAAAATCGGGCTGTCCAATTGCTGTTTGCTCCCTGAAGATTTTGGTGCAAACATTGGCAGCTCTTCTAACAGAACGGTACATGCATGGTTTTCTCATCCAGGAAAAAAGCTAATTTGTCGATATCCACATTTTCCTTGCTTGCAAAAGTGGATTTCTCCCTTTCCTTGTTGCCTTGATGGTTCAGCGGTTGGAGCAGGCCTCCAGGAGGAAAGCTGCATACTGAAGCTATTCTTGAGAGCAGATTTCTTCTTAGAAGCTGCTCCCTGTAGTAACTCCCACTTCGCTGATCTTTATTTAACATGGGCATTTGCAAAGAGATGGGATCTTTGCTTCATTTCCAATTAAGTTCATGCAGCAGATCCACCAGCTTTCTTTTAAGTGCAGTGAGATACTGTGATTAGGGCTGTACCATATTCATCTTTGAAAATGTTCAGAGAAAAAGGGGCGGGGGTGGCTATCTTCATTGTCACCATCCCCTCCTTTTTGCAATACTGTTTTCCCTGTAGTAATCCTAGCCAAAAATGACATAATAACTTCCAAGCAGTATTAGCAGCGGGATAACGTGATCAAGCCAGTTCTGAGTGACGTCAGAAGCACAGTAAGCGTGCGACCCAAATATGTTAGTTCTTGTTTCTGGTGAAGGTGTGTGCACCATCCCTACCCTCAAATAAATCACTGAATAGGAGGATGGATTTTTTAGGTATGTAAATGTTTCTGGAATATTCCCACCTAGTTGAGATCATCCATCTCTGTGATATATAAATTCCAACCACATTAAATGTTCTGTTAGCTGAGATTTCATCAGCATCGTTGTTATTTCCTAGTCTGGTCAGTGCCAGTTAAAGTGATGGATATCTGAAAGTACAACAAAGAATTCATTTATTTTTTTTTACTAACCAAAGCTTGATCTCCCTGTCTTGAACTGCCAACCTCAGTTTGCACATGCAGAGAGAGAAGGAAGAAACTGTTGATGTGTGAGAACATTATTACGTACTGCATTTTAGACAGAGTTAAATTTTAACAAGGAATAATCTTCATGGTTCATAGGAAGTCCATTTCGTATAAATTTATTCTTTCTAATGTGCAAACTGTGCTGGGTTCATACATCATACATAATGTGCCTAATTTGCTTTCTGGCTTATAACCCATGGATTATGGTTGAATGTGAAGTTATGGCCTATTCAACAAATTACAACTAAGCAAATATGAGCCCAGTCAAAATTAGAATGTGATCCTAAGGCTCTCTTTGGCACCTAAATGTGATGTTGTTGCCACAGCAGATCTTAGAAAGTTTGGAATTACTTCTGCATTTGCTTCCCACTTGGTCCTTCTCTCACATATACATAAGCATACACAGGGAGACTAGATTTCCACAGCACGTCCAAGCCTTAACCTAGGGCAATGGATTCCTGAGATAGACAGAGATAGACAGTGGCTCGTGGTTGAGCATTTCAGCACCAGGGAGAGCTCCTGGACACGAACATAGACTTTCGAATAGATGGAGCCTTCCAGGCCCACTCACTGCACCCAGGAGGCTGTCATCGTATGATGTTCTCCATTCTTCACATTGCATCGTGTTATTGGCACATCTAGCCTAAAACTTGCTACTCTGAATAGCTCTCCAAAGATTGTTTTTTCTGGGGTCTAGCCAACTGGAAATGCCAAGGACTGAACTTTCCAGCTACCTTTTAGTGGGCCCTCTGAAGTAGGGTGGCCAGGAAGACACTGAGGAGGGGGCACGTACTCCAACCTCACAGGATGAAGGTTCAGAAGGGCTGAAGCTAATGATATGGAACCAGGCCATCTTTTACTAGGGAAGCATCTCCAGCTGGGCCCTTGGTGATGCCTATCGCCACACCACAGTACAATTTCTTCCTTAGCCTTGATCTGACTGCAGTCCTCTGAGGCGCCTGGTCCTCATTCCATGCTGTGAGGAAGAGAGGAGTGAGGTTGAAAGTGCCCTCTGCATGTGGGAAAAGCAGCGCTGGTGAGGGCAGCTGCAGCAAAGCAGATACGCTCCCTCCCCTGCTCTTCCTGAGGCTAAGCCCATCTCACACTCCGCTCCCCTAAAAACATCCAGGTAACAAAGACACAAAATGTTCCAGTCTTGGAGACACAGGAAAGGATGTACTCAATTCCCCCCCACACACCGTGCTGACAGAGATGAACCTCCTGGCACAGACTCACCCCCCGGCATTCATGTCAGCATCCCAGCTAGTCATTTGGCCACACCCAGCAATTTGTGAGGAATTAGTGTGGTGGCTGCCTTATTTTTAACATCCTTTATTCTCTCTTCTATTTTGATTTTTACATTTTTAATGTGTTTATTGACTGTTTTTAGCTTCATTGTACCCTGCCCAGAGTAAATGTGATGAGATGGGCAGCTATATAAATTGGCTTAATAAATAAAAATAAAAACATTGAGTGGCGTAACAATATGCCCAGATGGCTATTTGAGCCTATTGTTAGGGAATATGCGTGCCACAATGAAGCATTGTGTACAGTTTTTCATCTACGTTGTGGTGTGTCCAGTCATCGATAAAAAGAACCCCTTTTGCCCTGTGTGTAAATGCTGCGAAGGAAGGGAAGGGAAGGGAAGGGAAGGGAAGGGAAGGGAAGGGAAGGGAAGGGAAGGGATGGGATGGGAGGAAAAATTTGAAGGTTAGAGTGACAGGAATGAATATCCTAGAGGATATTATCTAGTTCTTTCTTTTTTTCTTTTGAATGGATATCTGGCTTTTGGAGCAGACTGGCTTTTGGGGGATGCGTGCTAAACGTCCTGTATGTAAGGATATGCCTGTCTTGTGGGACATCATTTTACTTCTGTTTTTCTGCTTTTTTCCACAGGCGTGTGGTTCGGATGGTTGTTCCTTTCTGCGTACTTTGTTGGGCTGTGTGCCTGGGCAGAGAGCTTGCCCTGGAAGGGCTAGGATTTGGGGAGCTGTGTGAGCCTATTACTCAAAGCATCCCTGTTTTGCTCAGAAAATGGGCACTGAGTCAGGTTATCAAAATTAGAACCAGGGTACAGCATTTGTGGCTGGGGCCCATCCTCCCCTTACAGTCTCTTTCTGGCAAGAAGTGAGTTCTGCTTTGCGACCGTCCCACACTTGACACCATGCTCCTTCCTGTTCCTCGTAGTTTGAAAGGTAGCAAAGGATGTGGGTGCTGGCACTTTGTCCTCTGAAGGAAGACTGCCATGGGAAGCCTCATGCGCTTTAGGGACCTAGCTGTGCACCGCACCCATTGCCCTGTCTGTTTTGACGACGTAGAGGGATGGTGGAGGACAAGCTGATAAGCCCGGTGGGATCCAAAATTCTTGATTTTGCAGGTGACTTTCCTATAACAAAGTTCTGGCTTACAATTTTATGGGCACTGTTAGCAGTTCTGACTGGCCTGGTTTCAGTTCCTGTTGGGGCTCACAATCGCACACCCCTTTTTTTCTTTTCCCTTTGGAGAGGGGTCCCCCTTCAGCTCCATCTCTCGAAGCCAGCAGGTGCTGAGAGCTTTTGCTTCATCTCCACTGATGCGGCACCTTGAGCTGTTTCCCTGCCATAAACCATCTCCCTGGGTTGCAACTTCTACTGTGTTTATTGTTACCAATTAGGCCTCTCGCTGCCACCCATTTATTCACCTAAGCTTTTAATTAACATCCGCGGAGTTATCCTGCCGTTCGCTAGCGGTTTAATGTTTTTTCCTCGCCCTTCCTCCGGATTTTATAACATTGTGGTGTTCCTTTATTTTCGTTGAATTCCCTTTGGCGTTGTATGTTTTCCATTTTGCAGTTTCTGAACGTGGATTGAGAAGAACCGTGGAGACATTTTTACATTTTAAAAAAATCAAGGTTGATTTAAAAAAAAAAAAAAAGATGTAATACTCAGGTATTCGGGCGTGGGTTTGTGGAAGGCTGATGCAGGTAATCCGAAGTCTTGCAAGGCCGCCGAGTTATCCCTGCATACACTTGTTTGTTTATCCTCCTAACACGGGAGTGCAAACGGGCCTTTCATTTGGCCAATTCTCGCCCACAGGGAGGTCATCCAAATAGACCAGTTCTTGAAGGAGACGGCCGTCCGCGAAGCCAACGCCAAAGTACGTCTGCAGCAGTTCATCGAGGAACTCCTGGACCGGGCAGACCGAGCCGAGAAGCAGCTTCAGATCATCAGCAGCAGTTGCGGAACAACTCCCAATTGTAGTTTGGGGAGATGTAGTATGCCTGGATCCAAAAGCACTAGCCGAGCAGTAGCTAATGAAGCCAATCTCCTAAAGGGTGAGGTGGGTCTTCCTGAAGCGATGGGGATGGTGGCCAGGGCGAGACCTCGCTTCTGCTGGCCTCGTCTTCAACCCTCTGCTCATTCAGGGGCCACCTCCAGCATTGAAAGCCTGCAGGAAGTCTGTACATAAGGTCTAAACGGGATGCGGCAATGCAAATGGGGCAAATGTGGGTCAGTAGAAACTCCATGTTCAAGAGCATTATGCTTGTAAATATTCCAAACAAAATCACCAGGTTTGCGTGGTTGAACCCAATGGCGGAGCTGTTTTTCATTCTTCCACCCACCCCCAAGACATGGCGTGTCTGTGAGTTCTGCAGTATGTAGGGAACATGGAGAAAGACATGAGGTGGGGAAGGAGAAGGAAAAGAGAACCACTGACTTGGTTCACATGTCATAACCTCACCCCATTACTGAATTAACTCATGTTGGGGCTCACTTTGCAAAATGCCCTCTTTAGCGCTTTCACTGATGTGAAAGATGAAGAGTGTTGGGTCCAGGTGAGAGACAGAGAGAGAGAGAGAGAGAAGGATTTGACCTTTTTTGCCCTGGTGAAGGGAATCCTTAACCTTCTCCCATCTGCCTCTTGCTTCTGCAATGTCTTCCCCAGCAACCCCTTTCCTTCCCACCTGAATGCTCCAATCCAGCAAAGCTGCCATGGCGGGAGGCGTATGGGGCAAGGAGGAAGTGGGCAATGGGTGAAGCTCTCCCTCCCCTTTGCCACAGCCCTGCAAACGGGCGCTGCCCCGTCACTGCTTTGTGGCATAGAAGGGACGGTCTATTTTCCGAGTCTTAAATGGGCACAGAAGTCTAGATGCAGCTTCACGTTAGTCCTGACACAGAGGCTTCAACCTTGGTTACCTGGCCTTACATGCTGCAGTGAATTCTGCACATTCTGCTCTCGGAAAGGATACCCTGGCGCACGCAATCCACTTAGCAGGGCCTGGGCCAGCCACTGCTTATGCCTGCCAAAAGATGCCTAAACATTACCTAGTTTAAAAAGGATGGGCAAAGAGGATGGCTGAAATTCAGCTCTGGTTCCAATATACGGATGGGGACAGCCATTTTATTTGTTTATTTATTTGAATTTATCGGCTGCCCAACTCCGATGGACTCTGGAGTATGCATAGGGATGGGGAAAGGAATGGCTGGCTGGAGAATTCTGGGTGTTGAAGTCCACATGTCTTAAAGTGGCCAAGGTTGACAAATACGGACTTAACCTGATTCCTAAATTATCAATAAGCTATCACCAATTAGCAGAGACAAGGCACAGAACGTAGGTTCTAATTAGAGATTTTTTTTTTCTTACATTCACTCAACAGATACTTGCAGTCAAGAGACACCTTCTTGATGGCAGTCCCAAATATTTGGGAATGCCTTATCCCCCGAGATCCAGCAGACCCTGCCCCCCCCCCATGCCTTCTTGTCAGGCTGTAAAAAACTATTGTTCCAATAAGTTTTAACACAAGAGGTGGGCCTGGGCAGCCTTGAATCTGACCAGCTTTGTGGGTTCTGGTAGTATTTGATCTTTACTCTTGCCAGATGTATTTCTCACTGGTGTTGCAGAATGTCTCAAGTCTTTAGAAGCAGAGCGGGCTCCAAAGGTGTGGATAAAATCAAGAGATAAATAGCTGTGCAGTTTTAGCCGGGAGGCAGGGGGCAGATGCTAGCAGACACAGGGGCTAAACAAGGAGCCTCAAGCAGAGTGAGCAGAATTGCCAATGAAAAATGATTAAATGATTTCCAAGGAAACTGAGTTGAAGAAATATTGAAAGGAGTATTTTAGAGATTAATATGGGTTTGGTGGATTGCTTAAAGGTGTTGGATTGGAAGCCAGGAGACCGTGAGTTCTAGTCCTGCCTTAGGCAATACCAACTGGGTGACTTTGGGCCAGTCCCTCTCTCAGCCCTAGGAAGAAGGCAAGGAGAAACGTAAGTGTCAGTGTAAAAGTTCAGGGGGATCAGCTTGTGAAGAGTACATGCCAGAAGGTTTGGAAGAACTCTGATTGTAAGAGTTCAAGAGATGACCGTGAGCGAAGTTTGGGAAGTGCAGTGAGGCTTTATATCATTCAGGAGGTGTGCAGACCAGACGTTTGCTCTTCAGCAGGTCACTCATATAATAAAGTGAATAGGCCTGAATTATGGGATGTTTTAACACACCTGAAAGTTGGTTCCTGAATGCAATAAGAGCAGTATATGGTGGAAGTCAGAATAAGTGTCCTGCTTAGAGAAAGAATCAACATTCTAGACCAGTGTTTTCAAGGTTGGTCTAGACAATGCAATTACATAGGTCTTCTGTTATAACTACAGCGTTTGCAGAGATTTATCCCCAATGTTAGAGATGGGGTGAAGGGTGAGAATGCCACTGAATGGGAGGAAAGGGGTCTGGTAATGGGGGTAGTTCCAGGGGGATTATCAGCAGGGAGGTATGTGGATGATTGGTGGTAGGGATATGTGAATGAGTTGGTATTTTTATTTCCTTCAGATGAATTGGGGTGAACATGGGGTGATTTAGGACTTCAAGAGACTTGCCTTGTCTTGTCAAGAAGTGTTTGTGAGGACAGCTGGTAGCATGGTAGGGATGACACTGGTAGCTTTGTGGGAAACTTCTCAATGACAGTTTGATGCCAGAGGTTGTCTCTTTAGGCCTGATGGTGGGAGATGAAAGAGAAAGTGAGCAAATTTCGTGGTGTAAAGGAAGGTGAGACTCATGGGCAGGCCATTAGAGGAGAAGCAAAACGGGTACCTTGGTGCTGGTCTGCTCTTCTAGCCACACTGTTTCAACCCTAGGTTCAGGAAGCTGGATTTCTGGTGGCCTTGACCAGCAATAATTGATTTGCAATAAAACATTGATCATCCCCAGAATGGGGGTGAGCAAGGTGATGATGTACCTGTGACCTAGGCCTGTTCTAGAGCTGATGGTGTGTGATATGATCAAGGTATCTCCCCTGCCAAGTAAGTATGGTGTGTGACATGTTCATGTTAGATTGGACTGTAGGGGTAGGATGAAGATCCTGCTTGTGTGCCATCACTCTTGCTCCCCCCCCAGGATCTTGTCCTTGGGATGTTGCTGGAGTTCCCCAGGTTTTGGCGCTGGGGCTTCAACCTCCATCTCTGGGGGTTCAGGATTTCATGGCCTCTTCCAAGTCATTGAGGGCCTACTCCACATAGGTGGACACACAGTGGACCTCATCTGTGTTTCAGAACAGCTGCTGGGTGATCTGTGTGGAAGTTAAAAGAAAACTAGAGGACAACAGGGTGAATGAAGAAAAGCTTATTGCAGCCTTTTGACAGATGTCAAGGCGTTCTGCTTAAGAGGGTGCACCAAGGGGAGTGTTCAACTTATATTTATACTACGCAGTAAACATCTGTTCTTGTTCTAAAGTAGTCATCCTTAAAATTTATATTCCCTCAAACTATGTTTTGATCTGTGAAAGTGTAATAAGATTCTTCTTTATTCTTAAACAATCATGCAAAACTATATTGAACGTTGTTCTTTTCAGCCTCGGCTATGATAAAGTGGATTGACAATCTTTAACCTGTATCCTTGGAGACTGTTAAGTTATACAACAAGTTGCATAGTGACACATAGTTACCGAGTTATACATTACAGAGTCTAGACTAGGGTTATATTGTGTAGTTCATTCCCTTCAGCATCCACGTTGGAACAAGAGGGCTTTTCACTACAAAATGGTTCCTCCTGAAATACAGCACTCTCACATCTGGGGTATTGGACACCTTGTGGAGTCCTTTGCCATGGTCAGGTCACCTCCAAGTTGGAACGAGATTATCACCACCCAGGATCTCTGTAGGGCGAGAGGACCAATTAGAAGGACCTACTCCAGGTATTGTATGAATCCAGAGATGTTCCAATCAGCCATCTGGAGGCAGTTCTGTCAGCTGCCTGGTTGAATATTGGAAGAAAGAGGTGACCGGAGCATTACTGTTGAATAGCCTCACTCGGTCAGCAGATTCTGAAGTGCTCCTTGATTTACTGAGGAGCTATGGGAGATGATGAAGCAGCAGAAACACACCTGGAGCACAGGCAGACTGGACATGAGAGCAGAAGCACATTTAACTCCCACCATGGTGGTCAAGGCAGTGAAGTGCTTGTACTTCTCCACCCCCAAGGCAATAGCAAGTTGTCACCCCACAGCCCTGTTGAAGGTTACTCATTTCCTGTTAAGGAGTGATGAATGGGGAGAATCTGTCACCGGGTTTCTGTAACACTTTTTTGCCCAACATTTTCCCAATAGTCGCTCAGGTTTATCAGAATCTTGACTCCCCTTGGATGAAGTCTGCGGTGCTATCCGAAGCCATTTTCTATACCTTTATTGGAGATTCATTTCTGAGAGCTTTACTAGAGATGAGAAACAAGATGAAGAAATGTTAAGCTATGGAAATGTTAGCAGAAAGGGAGAGGATAGCATGCAGGCAGTTGAGATGCACGAAAGTTTTCTGAAAGAAGTGAAAAATAGCTGCGTATAAAAGAATGTCCATATTGTTCAGAGAGCTGGATGTGTCAGGAGAAATAGCAAAGTAAGTTGAATGCAGTGGGAATGAGGTACTTAAGTGTCTGTAGTAAAACAAGATAAGAGGGAGTGAAGAATGAATGGAGGCCAGAAGACTGTGGGCTGAATGCAGAAGTGAAGGGATCACTTTCACATTTCTCCATCTTTAGTCATCTTACCAGGGAACAGAAACGTACCTGTGTGTCCCAGTTGCAACGGTTAATAACTTGCAATCGCTCACTCCGTTTTCTCTGTCACTTTGAATTAAATACAAAAGCAGGTAGGTTGAAATGGTTCGGTCATAACAAGAGAAGGAATGAAGATCAAGCTGGTAGAGCAAGTATATGACGGAGGCAGAAACGAGGAAGGAAGACTAACGCTGTTGGGTGGAGTTGCTGAGAACTTCAAAGAAAGAGGAGAAGTTTAACAGGCCAAAAGCAATGCATGAAATGGTGTATTGATATGGTAGAAGCCATGATGGTTTGCAAGGAGAGAAAGATATGGAGAGGTGTAACCAGTGATGTTAGCATTAAATAGGTTTTCTTTTCATTATTTCATGCCTTCCATTTCTTTTTCTTACTACATTTTTGTTCTTTGCATAACGTTGGTTATTCAGAAAGGGAATAGCATGGTGGTTATGTTTGTGTGTGCATATGTACGTAATAAAATCAACATTTTAAAATACAGGTATATGAATGAGATAAACTCCCATTTAAATCATTCATTCAGATTTACAACCTGTTTTGATTTGACCTTGGGAGGCCATTTGGAAAATGGATCCAACTGGTTTGGGACATTGGGGCAGATTCAGAGGCATCTCCTTCTGTTTGGTTATTTGATGGAGAGATCTCTTTCGATTCTGTGAAATTGCCTGCCAGCCAGATTCTAGCTTAAAAAAAAAGCACCCCTCTGTTGAAAGGGATATCTTGAAACGCTGCAATCGTTCTCCACAAAAAAATGATTCCCCTTTTAAAGTAATGGGGATTTGGATTACAAGCCTCCGTCATTGATGCGTCTGTATAGGTGGGTGGTACTGTATTGGGAGCAAGAATAGATGGTTTAGTTGACGTGTGATGAAACAAACTGACCCCCAGTTCACTGTCTTCACAGAGAGACAAGCACTCAATGCCTGAAGCGACCCCGCACAGCTCCTACACCGTTTCCAATCAGAGGTCATCGTCCAGTACCGGGTAGGGAATCCGCTTGCATTGTGACCTTTGCGCGTCTGGCCGCTTCGCTGTTTTATGTAATAGGATACATGTTTTAGGAGCCTTTCCAAAATGAGGATGCCTCTCTGCCTCCTTTAGGGGAAGAAAACATGACAGAGACTCTCAAGCATCTTCACTGAATGTGAATCCATTTAGACGTGTGCGTTCTCCCTCGTGGGATCTTGGCTAAAAATCAGATTAAAAGCTCAGCCCATCTGCAGGACCTGGCTTGGCAAATAACTCACGGGATCGCTTAGCCCCGACCGCCTAGGTTCCTCTGTGGCGTGGCCAGCCGAATTCAGCAGTTTGGAAACCTCAGGTTTCTTTTAAAAACTGGCTTGCTTCTGGTCCTTAAGACTCTGCAAACAGGCTTAATTCACTCCCTGAAAGGATGGACAGGCCCAGGGTTTCTGGGAACCCGGAATGGCTCTTTTCTTTCCCTAATTCCCAACTTGTAAAAGAGGATACAGAATCAGCAGATGCACGTAACTGTATTTAAGGAACATAGTTGGAATATTGCTGTTCGCTTTAGGGCCAAAACAGCCAAGCTTCACGCAGATATTGCACGCCTTCATTGGCTTAACCTGCAAACTCCTTGAAACATGGGGAAGGAAAGATCCAGTTCTACGGGAAAGGGTAGGGGGTCTCTTACAATCTGCAGACCCCATATCCTGAGGTTCCCTGTTGTCAAGCCAATGGGGTCTCCTCAGTAGCCCCTAAAAAATAAACCTCTGAACTGCGCAGTTCAGAGACCAGAGCCCCTGACATTGCCCCATCACTGGAGGTCTTGTCCAGATGGCTCTGGGCTGTCCTTTGGATCCATCCAGATTCTAGATTTCTGGCTCTCTGATTCCAGGGCCTCCAGCCGGGCCAAAGCGGTCTCTCAGAGTTCGGGCTGCTACGACAGTGACGGTCCTGAAGTCTACCATGGAGCTGAGAATAGCAATGGGCCACCCTTCCAGTCCCGAGGCCCGGAGAGCGGCTTTGACCGGCCCGCCGGTGTGCGCAGCTCAGCTTTGCGCAGGCAGGCCATTCAGAATTGGCACCGCCGACCGTACCGCAACAGCACAGAAGGTGAGGAAGGAGACATCTCCGACATCGGATCCCGGACCACCGAGTCGGAGGCCGAGATGTGGGAGTTGGAACCCAGGGTGCCCGCTGAGGTCCAGCAAGTGAATTTCTCCAGGGCAGGAAACAATTCCCGGATGGCAGGTAGGTTTCATCCACTGAGAGGGGAGGAGAGATCACTTTGGGAGTTGGAGCAGGGATGGGGAAACTCTCCTGGGCTACAAAAAGGAATTGGGGGTCTATCTAAGAACATAAAATGGCTCATGTGGGCAACCAGATCTTCAAGAAATGTGTTTCTGGGGAACCAGGAAGGTTATGGGAATTGGACAGTCTGTTCTTAATCCTGTGTGGATATCTACAGGAGCAGCTTTTTCCAATGGTTCCTGCCCTTTGGAAATGCCATCTGCAGGGATCCTGGAATTGGGCCTTCTGAGTCACTGTCCCCTTCTCTGAAACGGCATTACCCAGATACTAGAAGGGCCCTAACCGTGTTAGCTTTTTGTAAAGCAATTAAGACATACTAACTTGGGTCTGAAAAGCTGCATTTGTTCCCTCCTGTAGAGAGAATGTCTGTATGTCTGAAGGCTGTCCTCCAGTTGATTTATATCACTGTGGTTGTATATTGTTTTAATCCTACTGCTGTTTGGAAGTCTGCATGATTGGGGCAAGTGCATCAGCGTCATACACCATCAAAGGAACCAGCTTGCCCTGGGGCGTCTTTTCCTACCAAATGTCTTCTTGCAAACGTTCTCCATTTTGCGTGTTGTTCAGACACAAGTCCTGCTGTACTTTGCAGAGCTCCTTGGCCAGGAACAGGGCATTGACTGGCTTCCTGCAGCTGCAACCCCATTTTCGTTTTCCTGGAACTGAGCCTCACTGAACATGGGGCAGGTTCTGCTCAACAGAAGCTCATTGAACTATAGGCTTCGTTTTCCAAGAGGACCTGCTGCTTATCTAGTCTAGGCTGAGCAGTTCCAGGTAGAAATGCCCCATGTTTATGCCTCAGCCAGGTCCGATGCTGGAAAGGGTGTCCGGCCCGAGAGGGGAAGTCCATCCCGTTCCAACGAGGTCATCAGCCCGGAGATCCTCAAGATGCGAGCTGCGCTTTTTTGCATCTTCACCTACCTCGACACCAAGACCCTGCTTAGGGCCGCCGAGGTCTGCAAGGACTGGAAATTTGTGGCACGGCACCCAGCAGTGTGGACCCGGGTGCTGCTGGAAAACGCCAGAGTCTCCTCGAAGGTAACATGGGGCTTTCTGCCACTCTGGCTTAGGAAGAAGCTTTGTTCTTCTCAGAGGTCCTTTTATTTATTATTGCATTTAATTTTCCCAACCTTGACAGATAGTGTTTGTTCTAATCTATGTTTTTTAAACTTTGGCTAATCAATTTGGGGGTGAAGTAGTATTTAAGCTTTGGTGCTGTTTTGAGACTTGTCCGAGTAGAAAAATGGGGATATAAATAAAATAAATGATCAATGGATATATACTATTCACTCCCAAATTGCCCTGGGCAGCTTGCAAGGGAAACATTCAAACTTAAAAAAAAAAAAAAAAAGGAGCAGAAAATCTCCTTAAACAGATCTAAAAGGTCTGGGTTAAAAAAAAAAGGGGGGGGTTAAGTCCCTTCTGAAACCTAAATCTGGGAAGGGAGGTGCCTCAATACCAGCAGGGTTTTAGTTCACAATACCCATCACAAAAAAAGACAAAATTAGCTTTTGATGTTAAACAACTCTGTGCAGGATCTGTTAAAGATGCCCCACGGTAGAGCTAAGGGGAAAAGCAAAACTAAAAAGGAGTTGTTCCTGCAAGTGTCTTGTGTGAAGCCCAATAACCCTTTGGACAATGAATGGTTGGTCTTGCAAACTGTCCTTCTAAACAACGTTCCCTCAGCTCTACCAATATTCGCCTCTATTAGTAACATTCCCTCAGTTGGGTTCTTGGTGTTCTCCTAGCTTGGCTTTCTTCTTGCAGATGTTTGTTACCAGGTTAGGGTCCTTCTTCAGCTTCCTGACATGAAAGAAAGTGAGGTTTGGTGGCTGTTCACATTTAGCAGCTTGTCCTACCAGCCTTGTGTTTGTGAGTATTCGTTCTTCTTCCATTCTGGTTCTGGTTCCTGCTTATCTGGACATTGGTTCATAGGCATGTGATGAAGAAGAATGTGCTTATGAGTATTGGCCTCTTTCCTCAATTCTTGGTTGCCTCCTTTCTTGCATGGTTTATAGATGGAGCTTCTATCAATGTATCTCTTAATGGCTGATTTCTGAGCGTGCCAGCTGGCTAAGAATTCTCCTCTGAGGTTGGATCTGGCTTGGTTTAAGATGTCTACAGTTTCCCAGTTGAAATCGTGGTTGTCATTGTGTGATGAGATTAAGAATTGTTCAAGATGTGTGGACTCCAGCTCCCAGATGTGTGGACTTCAACTCCCCATGCTGGCTGGGGAGTTCTGGGAGCTGAAGTCCACACATCTTAAAGTGACCAAGTTTGAGAAACACTGCTTTAGAAGTATTTTGTTGGCTTATGGGCTACTGTGGTGCCAAGGAATTGTGGTAACCTGCTGGTAGTTTCTGAGATGCTTTTGATGTATGGAAAAGTTAACCTTTTCATGAGTTACGTGGGTTGTGTTGCAATTGGTTGTGTGGATATACACTTTTTGATGAAGTTGCAAGGATATCCCTTGTGTTGGAACACGTTGTATAGATAGTCTCTTCTTTTTGGAGTTCTTGAGTTATTGCAGAGTGTTGTTGCTCAGCTGAAGAGGGTTTTTATAGAACTTCTTTTGTGTGCTGTTGGGTTGTTCTTGTGATAGGCAAGTGCTTGATTGATGTGAGTTGCTTTACAATACCCTTGGGTTCCTAGATTGCCACTGTTTTCCCTGGTGATGAGAATGTCCAGAAGGGTGTTACCTGATGATGTTACCTAGCCAGGTAATGAAACACCTGCAGGAAGAAAAGCAAACTTGGAGAATAGCAAGAACCTGACAATGCAACCCTGAGCGGCAGATTTTATTGTTTATTTATTTCAAAAGATTTGTATGGCCGCCCCTCTTCAGACAACTCTGTTGATACTCTCCATGATTGCAATGTTTCCTTTGCTGTTTGAAGATCTTCCTGATCACAACTTCAATGAATTGCCTTGGTTTTTTGAAGCTATTCTGTAGTAGTGTTCATTGATAATTCTATCCAGTTGAATTTTTTAAAATTTAGAAGTTCTGATGCGGATTTTAATTATGATGGGTTAGGTTACTGGGTGATACGCTACCTTTAGAAAGCCCATTTTGGGATGTAGCATGGAAAATCGTGTAAGTGCATTAAACGTGTTTGCCTCACAAGCTTCTCGGGAATCTCTGAGGGTTACCTGGATGTTGCAATGTTCTGCTTTTCTGCTTGTCCTGTGCTGTAATTCCAGCTTCCAAGTCAAAGCATGAGCTTGTGCACAGCGTCATGAAAACTGTGGCTGACATGGAAGATTCATTGTCTTGGAGGGGCTTGGAAGAGATACATGCATAGAGTTTTATTCACATTAAATATTTGCCCCATATGGATTGCCACTTCATTTCTTTACACTCTCTACCCCAACTTTCTGCTGGCTGAACACACGCCAGCTAACAATAAAGAATAAAACTTAACATCCAATTAAAAAACCCGTTAAAGTTAACTATTCATGAACTCAAACTATCTGAAAGGAAGGTCCTGAATTCCATTAACAAAGCCCTCTTCTCTACATCCTCCCACAACCTTAAAGCTGAACTCTGTTCCAAGATAGGCGGCTTCTCAGATAGGCAGGTCCTAACCCTGAAAGACCACAACCAAAGCCTTGAATCATGCTCAGGAAACAACTGGCAGAGGATGGGTGTCATTTGTTCCACTGCTTTGCATCAGGTTGGTACACAGCTTCCTTTTTTGTACCAGTGGAAGCTTCTGGATGGTGTTCAAGGGTAGCTCCTCATTAAACTCATGCAGTAGTCAAGCTGGGCTATAACCCAGCTGCGGGTCCTGCTCTGTCCCATGAAGTATCGGTCTAGCGTGGTCAGAGAAGTAGAAAGCAAACTCAGATGCAGAAGACCGCCTCTCTCTTTCTCTCCGAAGCACGGCGTCTTCGGGTAACCGCTGTTCTCTCTCTGTTTCTTGGGCAGTTCCTGGTCATGCTTTCACAATGGTGCACCCAGACACACTCTCTCACCCTCCAAAATCTCAAGCCCAGGCAAAGGGGGAAGAAGGAAACCAAGGAGGATTACATGAAAAGCACACGGTGAGGAAGAACCGTAGAACCGGGTGAGACTTGCTGCGTGGCCCAGTGTCCGCACTTTTCATGGCTCGGGAGAAGAGCTACAGAAACGTTCCAGGCGGCTGTCCCCAGACCAGCAACCTCTGGGGTTGGCCCTGGAGGCAGGGCACTGGTTTGGGAGCTCTGGCGGGGGCACATGGGTCTAGTGGTTGGTGTTTTTAATAAGCCTCAATGAAGTTTTAGTTGGTTTTTTGTTTTAATGTGATTCTGTTTTTGTTTGTTCGCCACCAAGAGTTTCTTGGATAGGCGAGCAGCCATATGAATTGAGTTAATCAATTGAAAATTAATAAAATGCGGTAAAGAATTCCCATCATCCCCAGCCACCACGGCTCTCAGGCTCTGTTGGGAGGGCTGGAGGTCAGCGATGACTTGGGGCCAGCTTCTCCCCCCAAGGATTCTTGGAAATGGCATTCTGCCGCGAGAGACTTGAGGATGGTTAGTGGGGTTGCTGGGGTTGCAAAGAGGGCTGAAGCCAACGGGCCGACTTCACACTGCCTGCTGAAACACGCCTCCAAATCAAGGGAGACCCTGCCTAAGCTGAGTGTCCCTGTGCAAAAAGGCATCTGCTGGGGCCTGACTTAGCTGGGGCGTGTTGTGTGAATGCAACCAAACTTCCACAGACCTCTTTCTCTGGAGCAGTGTTTCTCAACCTCAGCAACTTTAAGGTGTGTGGACTTCAACGCCCAGAATTCCCCAGCCAGCATCCACACATCTTTAAGTGGCCAGGTTTGAAAAACACTGATTTAGACCATCCCCTTTCCAGAGGAGCTGCACTGATTTTTTTTTTCTCAGTATGGGACACTCTCGTAGGCTGAGAACGATGAAGAACAAACACGGGAGTTTTATAGCACAACATCAAACAAAATCACAGTGTAAATAACCCTGCAGCATATCAGTATAGCTTCATCTTGGCTTACTTGTCGTTCCCTCTTCCTCTGAAGAGTTTTAATTTGCAGAAAGGGCTCCCTGTGGATCCCCAGAGCCATCCTCAGAAGAAAACCCTGAGAGTGACAAGGTGTTCAAGAGAATTTGCCATTTTCTCTTCATTTTTTGGGGGGACTTGTCTTGCCAGGGGATGCCTCGAAGCGGGACTGGAGTCCTTACTCAAAGCCTCCGGGAGTAACCTCTTGATCCTACGGGTTTCGCACTGCCCCAACATTTTGACGGATCGCTCCCTCTGGCTGGCCAGCTGCTACTGCCGAGCCCTTCAAGCCGTCACCTATCGGTAAGCGGGTGCGTTGGGGCTTCCAACTGAATCAGAGTTTCTTGTTCAGAGAAAGATGTACCAGGATTTGTTGGCCAACCTCAACCCAAGGTTGGCCCAGTTTGGCCAACTTATCCCCAAGGATAACTTTCTAGCAAGATTTAGCTGCCTATTTGGGAAGGGGTGCCAAATTATCTAGTTACTGCCATTTATGACCATGGTAGGGTTCCAGTTTTTTCCCCCACAGCACAAAGGGTTGTTACATGGTCCAACATTCTGCACTAAAAGGAAATTAAAAATGTTAGAAAACGTACTGTAGCCACAGGGCAAGTGGGGGTGCCACCCTATGTTATTGGCCCTCTCTTTAATGCCAACCAGAATCACCGTCACTTGCAAGCGAGGTTTTCTGTCGTAGCAGATTCTCTCTCTTCTCTGGAATGCATAATTGGGGCATTCTCGGAAGGGAGAAGGTGCAGAGATCGAATCTAATGCAGTGAGTTGCATTGAAGGTGCAGAGAAGTAAACTCCTCCAGCCTGGATTGTACAGGTGAGAAACAAGCTGGGAAGACCCTGTGCAAGGAAGAGGTGGCTCCATCGTTGCTGCGTCCTCTTATTTGGGACCAGTAAAAGTGAAAACAGGAGGAGCCCCACACCGTTCTGTTTTCCGTGTGTTCTGCCCCAAATTCAGGCTGCTGACATGAAGCGGTACGACCAAGAGACATATGTGAGTCCCAGAGAGAATGCAGACTTGGCAGCCCTGCCAACCAGACGGTCCCTGGCACTGCACGGAGCAGAGAGAGGAGGTGTGAAATAATCACAGCCTTTCCTCTTCCCGTTGGGGCTGGAGAAGCAGCAAGAGAACAAAAGATGGGGGAGGTGGCACCCCCGAGCACCCTTGGTGGGACTTCGTGCTTGGCACAATTGCCACAGCCAAGTCGCTGAGGATGCCGGTGGGGAATAATGGGTTGTTCTGCTGTCAAGCTGGCAGGGAGAAACCTTGTAATTAGCCCAGCTGGAATCAGCCAGTGAGATTGTCGGAGTTTAGGATGGGAGAAGGGGGGCAGCCCTCAAAATATCTAGGATCCTTCATGGAGCTGGAGGCTGTAGCTTTGCAAAATCGCGTCGGCGGTTTCGGGTCTGTTCGCGACCCCCCTGCCCATCCGGGGTTTTCAGCTCCCCATGACTTTGAAATAATGGCTGGGCTATGTAGAACCATAGGGTAAGATCCTGTTGTGGAAGGCTGGAAAAAGGTTGGGAGGGGGGTCTTTTTAAAACATGCTTGCCCAGGGATAAAAATGCCTTGCAGGTAGAAGAGCAAACATAGATTTATAGTAAGCAGGGGGGAAAAATGAGTTTGCTTGCTATCTTGAAGAGGGGTGTAAAATCCTTTATGGGGTCAGGAACATACATAGGGAAAAGATTTTATTTATCTCATGTTATATTAGAGCTTGGGGTCTTTACTGAGAGGTAAACTCTAGAGCAGTGTTTTTCAACCTTGGCCGCTTTAAGATGGGTGGACTTCAGCTCCCAGAATTCCCCTGCCAGCCATGCT